CATGTATGTATTTCATAAGGCCTGCCTTCTTACACCTTTCCATATAGGAGAAGGGAATTGGACTCTTCAATGGCATGGCTCACGAGGAATCAATGTATGAGATATGCTCATGGACGTTTTGCTTCTGACTTAGAACAGGGTGTTCTCTTTACCTCTTTCTTCCCTCCCACCTATGTTCCTTCACTTAAGTACCTGCGACATCTGAGGTCAGACTTGCAAAACCCAACCAGAACCACTAACATCCTCACATCATCCAGAAAGAATTTTTTGAGAGCTCATCACTAAATTGGGTCCTCTGTATTCTCCTAAAATGCCCGGGTGGCATAGTGGATTGAGTATTGTGCTGCTCAGGGGGCAAGGCTGCAGTTTGAATCAACTAGCCACTCCGAAGGAGAAAGATGAGGCTTCCTGTTCCTATAAAACTGTCCAACATTGGAAACCCTTCGGGGGGAGTTCTAGTTGGTCTTTGCGCATCACGATGAGTCCGAATGGACTTGACATCGTGAGTTTGTTGTTTGGTTTGGGCTTCTCCAAAATTCTGCCTGCTCTCCTCCACTAGCTTATTGGTGTGCTTTGCATTTACTTACAGAGAGAGAGAGTTCCAGCAGATCTCTATGAGGTGCATATACTATTAATTATGCAGCTCCAATCTTTGGGGGAAATGCCTGATACTATGAATATAAGGAAGTAGAGCCAAATGAATAAATGGTGCATCATTTTGAATATTTCAGGAAGTTGTGAATTGTGTGATTTCAACCCTCCCAAACATACCTACACTTCATTAACACATATTTTCCACCCAAAGTTATAAGATACTGTATAAGAATTGAGGAAATCTAAGTCTTATTCTGTTTCTCCTGAATTGGCTGAATGACCTAAGCAAAACATATATAAATTTTCCAGAGGCTCTTCATTTGTATAATGGCAGAGTTGAAATGAATACTGTCCAGGATTCATGACAGCTTTGAACCAATACTGGAAACGCCACTTAGGGTGAACAGAGGTGGAGACAATGAGCATAAGGAAGGAAGGCATAATACGCATCAGATCTGTTCTCATCTTGATAAGAAATATCATCGGAAAATAATAGTGCCCTTTGTTTGGTGCTGATTTTAAATTGACGTCATAAATTAATGTGTTTAGGGAGGGTTCAAAACAACCAGTTGAGTCAGCGAACATCATACACAGAAATTAAGTTTTGAAGGCCTTCTGATTAAAACAAATATGTTTAACAAGCATGAAACTCTAAATGCTATTAGTGAGCATTTTCTCAGCATGAGTCAAGTGTTGATATGCGTCAGATGTGGTAGAGCCTGGGGCTAGGGTGGGAACTACTTCTCCAGGGAATAGGTCATGCCAGAACTTGAAACTAACATTTTACTGCTTTAGAAGGATTTGCAATGGGCCTTGTCTTATAGCTACCAAAATACAAAGAAGGAAACATGGCTTTTCCAAAGTTGATGCATATATTTAGGCATAAGCATGGCAAGAAAAAGTACATCTTTTTAAATTACTTATAATGAAAAAAAAAACGGGAATCTGGATATTTACTTTAACATTCAATTTGATTTAAGAGGGGGAAAGTACTGAAAGAAAATCTGTAACGAACAATAGACATGTATGATTTATAATCTCTCCCTTTTGCAAATATATCCAACACCATTAATAGCTCCAGATTTTCTTTGTACTTTTCTAAGCAGTTTGGGGGTCATTAGCTCTTTCAGGTGCTAATTAGATAGGATCATTTGTGGAAGCCTCCCCTGGAATTCCATAGCTTCCAACTATCAGACACCACCCAGGAAATACTTTCTTTCCCTTTATGTTTGCCGGCCAGCTCTTACACAGCTTCCCCATGACACACAGCCAGCAGATAAATGCGGCCACACCCTATGGAAAGAACAGTAGTCCCTGTTATTAAAGCTGCATGAGGTAAACATAACGTGAATTTGAAAATGTTAATTACTAAGGGCACGATTGCCACTATGAGGTATGAATCTATTTAGTGCCCTTGACGAAGCAAGAAAACAAGGGCCTGCTATCTTGCAGCAATGCCCGTAAGCCACCCTGCCACTTCAGTTCTCCTGGGTCCAGCCGGCGTCGCATCAAGATTTCCATTTGAAGCACACACAGCTCTCTGGAAACATGTAACATTTTAGAGGAAAACACATATTTTCCTTCCTCTCCATAGTAACGCACATGCAGTACAATAAACAGTAAGTCCTGGGGAGTGTTAACTTATCTTTTAAAATTGTCTGTCTTCTTTCCCTAAGCCAAACAGCATAATTTGTGAATCCCCAAATCTGAGTGTCTAACACCATTTCACAGAAAGCTTTATCAGACTAGTTTCAATGGAATGTCAGAAGCAGTAACGTTGAACTTAGTGATGGGAAAAGTCTTCAAAACAACCCAAACGCCTTAAAAAGAAAAGCAAGACTTACTGTTTTCTGCCTCCGTGCAAAAACTAGAGAGGTTCTTCTCTGGAGTTCTGGTCTCTGGCAGTGGAAGGAGCCTTGGGCTTCTGATTTTATAGGACTGGCAAGGAGGCCACACCTAGCAACCAGAAGTTAGGAACAGGCTGCTTTTGTTTGAAGTTCCTGCCTCAGCCTCTTCCAGAAACTAAGTGAAACCAGCCTTACAAAACTGCTCTCTGAATCCATCATAGCTGAGTGCTCAGAGGAAGAGAAACGCAGAAAGCAGGCCCTCTTGCTAGTCACCTTTATGTGGAAAGCTTTTTCCAGAGGGGGTAAAAGGTAACAGATTTTCAAATATGCAGTGGTATTCCCCTCCCGACCCCCGCAAATCTGGCCTGGCGGTCGACACTCTTTTTCATTAAACAGATTGAGGAAGTAAAAGAATTTTCAATTTTGCTTCAAAATTTAAAACAAAATAAAACTCAGGTTTGAGCCAGCTCCATCATTTTTTACCTTTGCAATCATGAGCACCTATTTAACCCCTCTGAACTGGTTCCTGTGGTTTTTAGTAAAATAATGTATTTAGGCTGCCTACCCACTGACAATGGAGAAATAATTTGTTATTGAAAAGTTTAACATTATTAGGCACTCCATACTTTTATATTTATATCTTATCAGCATTTTTTCTGCTTTAAAATGTTTCCATTTGTTTTAATTTTATATGGCTTGTTTTTAAAAATAAGAAATATAAAGAAGTCTTAAAGATGTGAACAAAGCTAAGTCCGAAATAAGATAATGTGGGCACGCAATTGAAGTAATACCGTGAGAGAAAGGGTTGTCTTCATTCGTTCTGTTGTATAGAATCAGTTATAGATTAGCATTGATACAAATAAATCTTTGACATTTTAGAGTTTTTGAACACTTGAACAAGGAACTAGAATAAAAAATGGAAGGGATTAGTGGAAAAGGAACTCCTAGAACAGGTATTGTAAGAAAATTCCCAAGTGACGTAAGGGTGAAAAATTTGTTCTGGGAACTTCATTAATGATTCACTTTTATGATTTATGAATCCTTACAGAATATTATGTGATATTTGTATTTAAGCATTTGAATGCACAAACATTCTTAAAGCATTATAATTTGATTTATATTGTACTTTAGAAGTTTGTTGTTTTTTGTCTTTTCCTGAAAGACTACACATATGGAAAAATAGCCTAAAATGATTTCTTGAGAGTTTCAGTCTCTGTTAAGTCATTTACAGTTCAGTCTATGTTGACTGAAGGTATTCTTATGAATCTCAAAGTAGAACTGTTCTCCAGTGGGTTTTCAATGGTTGATTTTCTTCAAAGGCAATTCTGGGTTGATTAAGCCAGATTGTGGCTCGTATCATAAGTACGCAGCCCTAGCAGCTGGTGTACTAGGTTACATGTTGGACTGCTGACCACAGGGACAGCAGTTCAACACCACCTGCCATTTCACAGAAGAGGAATGAGGCTTTCTACTTCTTTAATGATCTATAGTCTTGGAAACCCACGGGGACAGTTTTTCCCTGTCCTATAGGGGTGCCACGAGTCGACTCAACTGGATGACAATGACTTTTGAGTTGACATAAGTCTGTGCTGAAAAAAGACTGAATTGGTTACCTAATTGATTGATTGATATCATTGTGAATAATCTTTAAATATGCAGACCAGCTGTTTATGTCGCAGTTTTCTGTGCTTGTTAGCTGAAGAGAGAAAAGACGCTTGTACACAGTCTGTTTCTATTTGTACTCCTAATGGTGTTGACGGAAATGTTGGCATATTCCCACAAAATGAAACGCCTGTGAAATGAAGAAAGAGCTCGATTTATTTTGAAAAACAAACAACTACTTTTAAGAACTGCATACTCTCCATTGTTGCATAAACCCAGAGGAGTGGTTGTATGAATTTGGATTTTTGATGCATTGGTAATATAGGTAATATTATATTACCTATAATAGTAATAGTAACACAAGTCCTTGTGGCATATTTTTTATTTTTTTAAAGTGGAAGATCAGTTCTCTAGCATTAACTTGTAGCTGTGACTTTAAGCCATTTTGAGATAAAAACTTAAACACACGAAGAAAAGGAAATCACTAGTTATGTAGAGATTGTACTGAGAATAAGCTGTTAGAACTTTTTCTTTTTAGACAAAAAAATTGGAATGTTTTTTCAGATAAAACAATTAGAATTTATAGAATAAAACTCAGAATTTATAGAAATAAAAGAAAAAGACAAATATTACCATTAAACACTCAAGGACAATCATGGGTTACATGCTTTCTGTGAGTGAAATGCCACATACCACAACTCCCTCCGCGTGACTCACCACTCTTCCTGTTTCTTCACCAAGACAGCTCAGCAGCTTCGTTTCTTTACGAGAGAGAGGAAAAGTAAAAGAAGGGAAGGAAAGAAAATACATTTTAAAATAGCCATGGTGATCTTATATTTTCACAGCATTTGTAATTTCTACTCCTTTAGTACAGATTATGACTATTAAGAGAAAATGAAGTTTAAAAAAAGGAGGCAAAACATGAAGTCTCACAGGTATGTTATACATGAACTGACCCAAACTATTTCAGATGCTGGCAGAATGTCTGATTTCCCCGAGGCATTTTCTCCCCCTTTCCGTTAAGCTCTGTAGGAGTTTCTTCACCTATCACACGAGGGAAGGGAGACACTCAGAATGATCCAAACCAGCATGCCTTTCACATGCCGAGGGCCTCCTACGCTGGCGACCTAGCCACAGCCCGAGGAAAGCCTTTTAGTTTGTAGTTCTCGTGTGTTCACATGGTAAAAAATGGTCTCTCTCACCTTTAGAAAAGCCAAGTAATTATCACACACACACAATGACAGATATTATTATGAAACGGCATTTCTTAGTTATTCCTAACAGCACATGAAATAAAGGCAGTCCTTGTATTTGTTTTTCAGATTTTAGCTAAAACGAAGAGGCAAATGGCTAACTCAGGCCCCAAGAACATGCTTCCTTTGAGTATCCCTGAGTAAATAACTTGAAAGAATGTCACCGACTTATCGTATCAGGGCAGCAAGATAATTAGTCGAGAATTTGGCAGCATAACCTTTTGATCAGGGACATTGCTTTTATTGTTATGGATTCCACAACAAATAGAATGAAAGGTATGACTGTCTTTCCGTTAGGTAGCAGAATAGGGACAGGGTTGTCCCTCCCTACCCCATGCCTGAAGGCCCCCTACAGGAGGTTGGGCAGGAATCAGGCAAGCATTAAACACCTATAAGGACCCTTTAATTGGGCATGCTCCAATTCAGGCCCCCTTGAGCCAGGTGGGCTTGATTCAGCCAATGGGGTCAACCATTACCTTCGACAGCACCTCCCTCTCCCCCCAGCCGGAGGTTTAAATGCCTTAGGCGTGGACCTCCTCACTTTTCCGGCCTTCTGCACTCTCCGCTTGGATCTAGCTCCTGCGCAAGCTCGCCCACCTCAGGTCACCACATGTGGGTGGCAGGCCCATGAGGTGGTCTGTGTTCAGTTCTGAGCCCCTGCACAGTTTATGCACGGGTTGCACACTTTCCCGAAATTGCGTGTACTCTTTTGAGGCCGTAAAACCTGAAATTTCTTCTGCCCCTTATAAAAACCTACTTGGATTTGAAGTACTTAATACAGGGAGTTTTTAGTTCCATAACTTTGTGAAGAAGAGAAAAACAGTTTCTCCTTAGGTGGGAGACTGGAGGACAGTGTTTGGTTTTAAAGATGCACGGCGTGTTTGAGTCAACAGCTCATGACCATTGTTGTTCTTAGAGTCGGTCGAACCCAGGGCGACCTGATGCACAACATAAGGACCCCTGCCAGGTCCCGCGCCATCCTCACAGTCGTCCCGAGGCTTGATCCCAGCCTCCGGGTCAACCCATCTACTTGAAAGCCTTTGTCTTTTTAGCGGTGCCTTTACCTTACATAATGTTCTTTTCTGGTGACTGGTCTCTCCTGACAATCCTCTATGGCATTAAATCTACTTATCCATAGTATGGGGATCATTAAATCAATTTACTACCTGCGTCACCCCATCCTTGGGGTACATCATTTAGAGTAAAGAGTTGTAAAACACCTCACAACCAAGCCACTGCCTCAGAGTCAATGCCATGTCGTAGTGACAGGGGTTCTGTGGGTGCGATCTTCATGGGAACCAAACGCAAACGCCCAGTGCTAGGGAGTCAATTGACGCATAGCTGCGCTCCGCAGAGTTTCCAAGGCTGTCAACCTTTACAGAGAGAGCTAGGTAACTTCAGGTCTCACTGAGTCTAAACTTTTTAAATGAGTTGAAATTTTTAAACTTTCATCTGGTGAGTTTAAATGGCCGATCTTGAAGTTAGCAGTCCAATAATGACCCAACAGGGACACCAGAGCAAACAACCTTATTTTTCTCCCGCAACCCGTTGGTGGGTTTGAATGCCAACCTTTCTGTATGCAGCCCGATGCCTCACCTACAGCACCACCAGCACTCCTTACTATAGAATGTTAAAATAGAGCAACACAGGACCAATAGAAGCCATCAGCATTGCTGGGATTAGTTTGTGCGTGCCAACTGTATGTGCCAACTCTGTGCCTGAAAGAAAGGAGGACGGGATATGAAAGGTGTTTTTTTTTTTTCATTATATCTATGCTGTTTTATTTTTAAATACTTTTGTAAAGTACATAACATTTATTAAAGGTCAGTGAGGGATACAAGGATGTTTGCTATGTCTTCTCTGTCACTTTTTATGTGCATTCACACACCAAAATTATGTTGATGTTGAAATTAGACACTGCATTTGAATTCTTTCATTCAATATTTTTGGGGAAATTACTGTAACTGTGTTTTCATCATTCTTGTTGCTCTATGATATTAAATGTATCCAGTTCTCTATGGTTGAATACTGAAATGTTTCTCATTTCTGGCTAGTAGAAACGGTCCTGGTACAAGCATTCTAATGTATATCTTTTGGTGCACTGGCTAGGTTTCTTTCTTTTTTTTTTTTAACATTTTATTAGAGGCTCATACAACTGTTATCCCAATCCATACACACATCAATTGTGTAAAGCGCATTTGTACATCATTTCTCAAAACATTTTCTCTCCATTTAAACCCCCGACATTAGGTCCTCATTTTTCCCCTCCCTCCCCACTCCCGCCTCCCACATGAGCCCTTGATAGTTTATAAATG